TTATTTCTCATAACTTGTACTTGAGTGATGAATTATAAAATTGTAGCAGTGCCCATAATAATAAATGTGAAGAAAACCTCCTCCACGGCTCCATCACGTGAATTGTTGTGACTTATTCCACCAAGCTGCACAAAATCTCTATGTCTATTATTTGCGATCTCACCGACCGGAGGAGGGTAAAATGACAAAAAAAAAAAATGAGAACAATGTGGAGTTGAATGAATGAATTCCAACACCACACACGTACCAAACACCAGGACATTAGGCAGTAGGGTACCACGTACGAGTGACACAACACTGGTACGTTTCTGTTTTTATCGTATCTTTATCATTTAATGCTCCCCAACCCCCCTTACCCCAGTAGAAAATATAGATTATTGTAACACATTGATATTATCACGTATTATAATTGTGAAGAAGATAAAATTTACTTTTTCTAAATAATTATATTTTAACTTAAAAAAACCTATTTTATTTTATTTATTATTAAACAATTATACCACATGACAATATTAATATAATACTTTAGTCTAGGTATGCATATTTGATAACACTTTGAGATTAGATTATGAAAAATTTATCTTTTATAAATACTTTAATCTCGAAGTGAATGACTTACTTTTAATTAAATTAAAAAAAAAATTAATCAAAATGTGTGTAAACTGACGCAAAGACTCTTAATTGTTGAATAGTTAGGGGTGTTCACCCTACTCTACAGGTAGGAAATATGATTTTTTGTCTTCTTACCCGATATTTTACGAAAGAATTTTTTTGTAATTTACCATACTAGATCAAGTGTGGTATTTTTACCTGACTACCTGCCAAATTAATCGGATAAGAAATCTTGTGAACACTTTTATAGTTATTAATTTTTGAATCATTTTAACAATATAATTAAATAACATGCACAAATTTAACAACCCAATAAATCAATAACACTAAAAATCTAAAAAAATTACAACAATAATTACAATAAAATACAAGAAAGTATAAACATCAATTCATCAAAATTATTTCAGAAATATAATAATAATTATTTTAAGTTTAAAAAGGATAAGGTAAGAATACGAAAATTAATGATTATTTTGCATTCCTACTCGATTTAATCAAATTTTTTTTTTTATTTCTATCCAATTTTTTCGATTAGCCGTTTAATATGGTTAAATAAGGTCAGATAAGGTAGAAAATTGAGACAAATCCGAAATTTAAACACCTCTGACTGCAGTTGTTTAATTACTCAGTAATCTAATCCTTACCCCATTAATAATTGAGATTAATTAAATCAGGAGGAAGTTAGGGGGAAAGCCCATTGGTCTTGGAAGGCGTGGATGCGAGCGTGGGTTATATGAGTCCGTACAGATAAACTTTAGGGGGAAAAAAAAAAGGTTGTTTAAACAGTTTTAGAGCAGAAGGTGTGATTGTGACCGGTCATAGCAGGTGGAGATGTGAGAGAATTATTTTTGACAGGTTGGACTGACAATTACGACCTCCAATTCGGCAACCTACCTTGTCGTTTTGTGCCACCTCAGCAATTCCGTGCTCCCATTTTTTTTGTGCTTTTATAAGTCAGGAAATAATTATTTAAAAAAAAAGAGATAATAACGAAAAGGAAAGTGCTCTCCAGGCTGGCCCCTCCCTTTCTTTCAGTCAAACAGGCTCGTCTGGCTCTCGCTTTCAATCTTCTATCCAACCGTTACGATTTTTTCTACGCAATCTCTCTACGTAACTCATGTATTTAACATAGCTATCATTACAGTTACGTGTACAAGTCATTACAGTTACTTGGACAAGTAAGGGTGGTAAACGATTCTAAGGTTTCGTCTGGGATCAATGCTATAAAGATTTAAAAAATAAATTTAATAATTAAAACGATTGATTTTATTATAAGTTTAAGCATTTTTTAAGAACTATTATTTTATTAATGATTGAGATTATGAAGTATAATTTTTAAATTTAGTTTTTAAATTCATCTAATTTTTTTAATTCAACTATTATGTTCGAGTCAATAAAAAATTATTTCTAGCATAAAAAATATTTTCTTGTTGAGTAAATTACATTATATTGTATATTTTATATTTATGACAATTTATATAATACTATTTAAAAAAATTTAAAATACCTATTTTTTACCTACAATATTCATTAAATAAATATTTTCTGTTTTAAGTTAGACACGACACAATTGAAAGCTATTTAATAGACATTTAATGAATGTAATTTTTTGGGGTCATAAATATGAAATATTTAAATTTTGAGGGTACAATTTATAATTATCCCAAATTTTTTTAAGGACAAAATAGACAACGGTTAGCCCCAGATGCACAATGATACGAATTTATGTCTTTTTGAGGTGCAAATTAATATTTTTAAACTTTGAGGGTACAAATTAAGATTTGAGTAATTTTTTGAGCTATAAGTTGAGTTTAACTCCCCCTTCTTTTTTTTTTTTTTGGGTAAAATATGACTTTTAAAAATGTGACCTTTAAAAATATGGCGATGACGTAATAAGTTTACGTTGTATTTTTGATTTAAATTATTGAAAAATTAGCTGAAGTAGTAAATCAAAATAAAGAGCGTGGTTGAAGTGAACTTGTAAAAATAACTTTTTAAAATAAAGAATGTAATATTTAAATATTTTTTAAGTAGCAAAAATAGAGAATTGGGTTAAAGTTGCTTTTAATGTTCAACTAATTTAAGTGTAAAATAGTTTATCTACGTAGTTTTGGCTTGCGTTAGGGCTCGTTTTTCCCACACAAAAAAAAGAAGAAGCTAACATTAAATACTTTTTATGCTTATTTTGAAAAATGACTTTATTAAGTTCAAGCTCAAACTCGTTCTTACAACTTATTTGCCATGCTTAAGTATAACTTCCCAAATAAAACATAAATATAATTTAAATTATATTTAGAAAAACAATTATAAAAATTTGATGTGATAGAAAGTAATTTATTTAAAAAAAAATAAATGATGAATTATTAGTATATGCTGGGGTGATTATACCCCGCTTGGTAAAATATAATTTGATTGAATGTATTAAAATACATAAAAATTCTAAAAAATGAGGGTATAGGGAGGTAAGACATTTCAAGATCTCTCCTACTTAATTTGTTTTCGATATAATATAGTATAAATCAATAAAATTGTACTCATGATCCTCAAAAATTATTACTGATTATATTATTTTGCTACACTTAATTGAATTAAAATATCTATTATATTATTTCTTTAAAACAATAGGAAAAAATACTCATAAATCCTACTTTTGATAATTTTATCCTTCCCATAAAAACACAAAATGACATTTTTGTTTATAAATTTGTATTCAATTTTATTTATTGAAATTTATTTTTTATCTTAAATTAAATTCCAAGAAAGTTGTACTTTTAATTATCAAAACGTCCACTCTGTTGCCATGTAGAAGTTTATATATAAGTGAATCTTATATAGTATAAAAGTCGTAAGATAAATATTTTTTTATTTAGCTATTGAATATAATATTGTAGTTTTGAATGTTTGAATTCATTTTTTTAATGCTTAAAACAATAATTATTTTCTAATTAATTCAAAATATGGAAAGAGAAGTGAAAAAAATAAAATTAGAAGAACTTTTCTCAATGATTATTCATAGATTAATTTTTACATTGTTCATTTATGTAATTGTATATCTTTATGGTTAAGATTTGATAGTCGAGTAAGTGGAAATTTATATGCTAAAAAAAATTAAATATAAGGAAAAATAGAGTTGCATGATTTATAATTCTTATAAATCTTTATTGTCAATTACTTACGTGCTGGACGTTATACACTAATTAAAAAATGATAATTTGCTTTTAGTCATAATAATAAATATTATTAGTTAAAATGTAATTGGTGTGTTGATGTGAATGATAAAATTAGAAGAAAATACAATATTGGTGAAGTATAAGACTTCTTGGAAATAGATTATAAAAAAAATGACTTAATTATGTAAACATGATAGAATTTAATGGTTCATTTTGAAAGAAAAATAGTACTTATTAGGAATTTCCCAAAAAAATATAAAAGAAGCAACAAGAAGAAAGCGTCAACTAAAACAACTGCAAATAAAATAAAAGCTGAAGACTATAATAGCAATATTTTTTTTGGTATCTTACCTCTAAATTTTACATTCTTTTTAGATGTTCATATAAATTTTTGATTGTTTAAAAAAAAAATCTATAATTTTTAGAGTCATTTTATAATTTTTATTGCTTGAGTTATAATTTTTTGGGCCAAGTTATTCATCTATAAAATTGTAAGATTAAAAATTAATCACAAAAATTATAAAAAATTTGACAAAAATTTCAGAAAAAAATTATAAAATTTATAATGGTACACTATGCACTTCCTTTTTTTTTTTTATATCGAAGACTTCTGCCAATTAAAAAATAAAAGTNTCTATAAAATTGTAAGATTAAAAATTAATCACAAAAATTATAAAAAATTTGACAAAAATTTCAGAAAAAAATTATAAAATTTATAATGGTACACTATGCACTTCCTTTTTTTTTTTTTTTTTATATCGAAGACTTCTGCCAATTAAAAAATAAAAGTAGAATAATGTTACATGAACTTAAAAATTAGACTTGATATCTTAATCATAGATTTTACTGTAGATTCAAGCATTTATTGGGATTTAATACCTATTCAATGGTTGAGATTAGTAAATCTATTTTTAAAATCTATCTTTTAAGTTTATGTAACATTACTCGTAATATGAGNCATAGATTTTACTGTAGATTCAAGCATTTATTGGGATTTAATACCTATTCAATGGTAGAGATTACTATATCTATTTTTAAAATTTATCTTTTAAATCCATGTAACGTTATTCGTAATATGCGAGCGAGTATATGATTAAATCAGCACAGCTCTGATGTGACGCGTGTCCGTTAGCCAGGCTGTATCCCAAAATCAACCGCTCTCCTGTAACAAGGCGGTGCCCATAACGCCTCCCTAATGTCCACCCCTCACCTGCTCAACCAGTCATCTCTCTCTCTTCTTCTTCTTCTTCATATAAATCCACTCAAACGCTTCAAAACTCCCATTGCTCGTCTCTCAGAACCATAACCCCCAAATTCTCGAGCAATACCAAATCACCCAAACCAACCCTTTATATGTTTTGCTGAATCAGTTTTCCATGGCGAATACGAATACCCAAACCAAGAGAGATCTGGATCGCATCAAAGGTCCATGGAGTCCTGAAGAAGACGAACTGTTACAGAAACTAGTTCAACGACACGGCCCGAGGAACTGGTCCTTGATCAGCAAATCCATACCCGGTAGATCCGGAAAGTCATGCCGGTTACGATGGTGTAACCAGCTATCTCCTCAAGTGGAGCACCGTGCGTTTACTGCCGAAGAAGACCAGACCATTTTCAAAGCTCACGCCAGGTTCGGTAACAAGTGGGCCACCATAGCCCGGCTTTTATCGGGTCGGACCGATAACGCCATAAAGAACCACTGGAACTCTACACTAAAGAGAAAGTGCTCGTCGATGAGCGGTGAAGAAGGTAAGGAGTTTTCAAATGAACAGCCTTTGAAGAGATCGGTAAGTGCCGGGTCGGCTATGCCGGTTTCGGGGCTGTACTTTAGTCCGGGTAGTCCTTCTGGATCCGATGTCAGTGAATCGAGTCTTCCTGTGATGTCTCCTTCTCACGTTTATAAGCCGGTGGCGAGAACCGGCGGTGTTTTGCCGGTGAAGAACGATCCTCCTACTTCACTTTGTCTATCACTTCCTGGTATGGATTCGACTGAGGCCTCGAACTCGAATCGAGTGACTGAATCAACTGAACCGGCCAATCCGATTCAGTTGTTTCCGTCCGCCATGCTGCCAACTCCACCTCCACCGCCGCCGATGGGTATGGTGGTGACACCGATTCAACAAAGTCATCCGACAAATCAACGAAATCAACTCGTTGGCTTTGGATCGTCTGTATCCCAACCGGTGGTGGGACTGCCGATACAACAGTTCAGTTTGAATCAGCAGCAAAGGGACTTGGGATCATCGGCGCCATTGGCGATGCCGATGCAACAGTTCAGTTTGAATCAACAGCAAAGAGACTTGGGATCATCGGCGCCGTTGGCGAAGGCGATGCAGCACCTGTCGGTGAAAAAGGGAAACGAATGCGGTGGAGGAGCTTCTTCGCTTTCAATGCCACCGGCAACGGTGGCGGTAGGACAGCCAGAGGCGTTTGTGCCGTTCAGTGCGGAGTTGTTGGCGGTGATGCAGGAGATGATTAGGAAAGAGGTTAGGAACTATATGCAAGGGATTGGACAACAACAAAAGCAGCAAAGTGGAATTGGGATGTGTATACAACAAGCCAACGCAGATGTATTCAGGAATGTGGCGATGAAGTGCATCGGCATCAGCAAGATCGATTAGGGAAATTAGCTTGGGGTTAGAAAGGAACGATCTTTATTCCTTTTTCTCTCCATTTTAGGTGTCCTCTGGTTCGGAATCAACTTGCCTGGAAAAATAATTTTGGTCAATGTACAGTGAGAAGGAAAATGAGAGGGAGATTGAAAGAAACCGGAGACAAAAAAATATGGTCCGAACTTTCGACTTTTTCAAGCAGATTTAGGAACAAAAACCATGCAACAAAAAATGACTAAGACTGTAAAAAAAAAAAACCCTTTGAATTTCAATCCAACTTAAAAACATTTGTCTGTCCTTTTTTCCCTCTTTATTTTTGGTCTGTGGTTGTTAAATTATCCGTGGGACTTTTGGTTTATATAGAATTATTTTGAATTTGAAAATTGACAATTTCATTGTCTTCTAACGGTTATGGAGGTACTAAAAGCAAAGCAGAGACATCAAAAGCACGTGAATTGTCTCTGTTCAGGGAAAAAAAATCTTTGTTACTGAGCTAAGTATCATAGTAATATATTTTTGTTAGTCGAAATGCACAGAGGTAATGCAAGATTTTTTCATAGCATTATTTTTTTTTTTAATATAGTCTAGAATGGTTGCTGAGAAGTTGTGGAGAAGCAAGTGTGGGAAGAAGATGGCTTGAACAAAGAGAAATCACGAACCCCCACAACCATGAATACACAATGAAGATATGAGACAAAACAATACCTTGAATTAGCTTGTGCTGGAACCCCTGTACCTACGTATTATTAATTTAAAAAACAAATTGTAGGGAAGTAGGTTAGAAGGGTAGAATTTTANACCTTGAATTAGCTTGTGCTGGAACCCCTGTACCTACGTATTATTAATTTAAAAAACAAATTGTAGGGAAGTAGGTTAGAAGGGTAGAATTTTACCATTGAAATTAGATGCCATTCCAAAGAATAAGAAGAATCTAGAAATTTCTCCTAAATTCATCATATTTTAGCTTCACAAGGATTCTACAGTAGCCTATTTTAGAGTTTGAGAGAGAGAATAATCGGTGCAAATATGGACACTTTGTAAAAAAAAAATTCATAAAGAGCAGCATTCGCGAAACATATCTCACATTCTCATACCCAGATTTTTACTGGTATTGTAGTTCCTGTTTTCTTATTGGACCCATAGCCCATGTTCACATAGGTGAAAGGTTTAATAGGACAAATTATCAACATGGGCCTTATTTTTAATACTGATCAACATTTGGCCCATGTTCATTGAAGTGAAAGGTAAAAAATTAGGCCGAACGAACTATCAACATGGACCTGTTTAAATTTTGAAAGAGCCGAGATGACAAACTTCATTTTATTCCCTTTTAGTTAAGCTCTTCTGTCAGGGCCTACTTAAGAGCTTACGCAAAAATTTGAAATTGGCCCTAAATTATTATTTTTAGATCAATAATTTTGTTATTTTTGTTTTTAATATTAAATATTAAATTCATTTCTTTTAGTAGGTATATTTAAGATCGAAAGTAATTTGCAAAACAAACACACTATGTGAAAGATTATATTAAGATCAAAAATATTTTAAAAATTATAATTCTAAAAAACTAAATTGAATAAATACATCAAAATTATTGAGAATTCAAATAAAATGAGGGAATATAGTCTTGTAATTTTTTGTACAAAAATATAATTTTTTTTTATTATTCATGATTTAAATAAAAAAAAATTTAAAATTTTTAATCCATTGACATAACATCCTAAATCCTTTATATATATATATATATATATATATATATAGATCTAGATGTACTAGCCCTAGAATTAGATCTGAATAATCTACTCATTTTTAAAATCTAAATTGTTACCAAATTTTAAATTAATATGTAAGTTTGACTCTAGACATTCCCCTTAACCAATTGCTCTCAACTTCTCGCCTAGCTTCCTAAAGTTCATGTTTGTCAGCAAGATGTATGTTTTGAAACATCATTCCTTCTTGTTAATAACATGACTGATGCTGTTATTCTTGGTCTTCCATTTATATATCTTTTGTACCCTTTTAGTACAGATACAGATGGAATATCAACCAAGCATTTTGGAAGAAAAATTGTATTTCCATTTATTACCAAACCTGAAAAAAGACATTTAAGGCAGCTAAAAGACATTTCTGTCTCACAGTCCCTTAATGTT